TATTAACAGAGGTTTTGGTATGCTTATCCTTGTTCTTTCTTTGTAACCTCTTTCTATTTTTGGTTTTTTTTTTTTTTTTTCAAAATAGCATGGGTAATATGGTTATTGCAATGTTTCTAGCCCAGCCTAAGGCATAAGTGTGAAATCTTACAGAAAAGCTTTCTACTGTAAAATGCTGTAAAATACTAAACTCTGTTCTCAACCTTAAGTACCTCAGACAAAGAAAAATTCTCCAGTGCAAAAATATCATACTCGTGCTTTCTTCATAAACTTCATGAAAAGTCATCTTTTACAACAACAACAAATGATAACTCATACTGTCTAAAGTTTACACTGAATTGAGTTAAAAAGAGCCAAGTTAGCACTTCCTTCTAATTCTGCATGTCTGGTATTCTCTAGAACAAGGGTCTGCAGCCTGTGGCACACACAGATTCAGCATTTAGCATACAGCGTACCACAAAGGTTGCATGGGGTCAGGAGTCATGAGCAGATGTAATCTGAGAATAACAGCAGCTTCCAGATCTTAACTCCTACTCTCCACCAGCTGTCCCAGGGATCAGCCAACAAGCAGTGCCTTTTGGAAGGCATGTGCATACCCAGGTATAGGTTCCATGCACTGGCTTTGGCACGGTGAACTCAGTGATCTGTTGCTATAGTGCTGACTGCTCAATTCACATTGCAGCTACTGAACTGTGTCACCTTCCTTGATTTTGCTCCTCTGCTCTGGCAAAGTAGAGCCAATGTCTGAGACATCTCTTCCTTTAATTATTCTTGATTTGTGCATTGCATTCCCTCCAACCTGTACAGTGCAAGTAAACCAGCTCACTCTGACAAGCACTGATCATACCAGCTCTTCAAGGCCTCAGCTAGTCCTAGGTAAAGATTCAGTTAGGGTTCTGACCTATATTAAATATGTAGTTAAGATGTAATATGAAAACCAGTACTTTCCAAGCCCTTCTGAAATAATACTGGGACAGATCACCTCTAATTTGACAAAAATCAAATTTGGTACACTATCACCGAGGGGCTGGCCTCAGCCTAAACCACATAATTGATGCTCTGCAGTATAATCTGCATAACATCATTCATTCTTCTAGTAGGCTCAGTGCTAATGAACTAAATAAAAGTAGCTACATCATACTTTGATGAGATGATTCAAAGAAATAAGTGCCTTAGCCTAATGAACCCACAGACCCAACAAGTAAATCAGCAATGCATTATAAAACAATGACAGATTATAGCAGCCAAGTAGCGATTTAAAGTATCAGTTACATTCATATGGCAAAATGAACAAATGTACAAATACCATCTTAGAGGTTTTAATTTTGCTTTGAAATATTTTTATCTGAGGAACAAGATTACCATTATAATGCACGGTTCTTCCAGGCACACATTACACTGGGTGCTGTTAAAGATTTCCAAAATATAAATAAAAGACTTCTTAGTCATGTTGTCTTTGTTCCTACATCTTCCCTGTGACCTACTGAAATACACACATATATAGAGTTAAGTTTTGTCTGGGTTTTAGACAGACAAATATTCTATCTAGTTAGTACACCACTGTAAGGTATGGTCATCATTTGTTTACAGGGTAGAGGATATTAAGTTAGCAACCCTTAACATCAGACAGGGATGGACAGTGGCTTCAAAATCTCCCTCCTGATAACTTGCAGAACAGTACTGAGTAGGGGCTAGGGAGCTATGCCTTTTCAAACAAATAGCAGCAGCACCTTGCTAGCAGTGTATCATACCTTTCAAGGACAATTATAGCTTTAAGTGAAATTACTCTGAGCAGTTCAATCAGTCAGTCAAACAGAGAGGCCATTTCACAGCTTCAAAATATAACTTTATTTTTGAAAAAAATCCCAAACATAAAACCCCAAACAAAACCAAACCAACATTTTCATGCACATGCCAAGAAATAACTGTATACATCAAAAGCCGAGCTATACAGGTATGTTGCTTTGGCATTTATCCTGCATTCTTTTATAAAAGACTGTACTACTACACTTATTTAAACAGCTAGACTGTCTCACTTTATTTATTTTTCTTAAGCTGCTGAGACTAGAACTAGTAAAAAAAAGAGGTTAGTCCAGGATAATGAAGGAAGATCAGGGAATAAATAGAAACAATTCAATTCTAAAGTCAGAAACATTTACATTATTTGCATTAAAATGGACCAAATAGGAATGCAGTCAAGTATTGCCAACATTTCTGCCACTGGTTTGGGGATAATGTTGTACCTAGAACAAAACACTGTCAACTATTTTTCCAAGAAGCTGCAAGGATTAATGCTAGCTGTCTATTTTTAAATACTTGGAAGGTTTTCAAATACAATGACAATGAGATTAAGCAGACAAAAAAGAAAGGTATTTTCATTGCACACTATAATATTGGTAATAACCAATTAAAAGAAAATGACTCTTGTATGATCTGAAATTCAATCAAAGTGTTCCACTAAAAATGAAAACAGAGAGAACATTCACTGGTGTATGTGAAGGCAAACAGTCTGTACAATCTAACAGTGATAAAATGTTACTATTTTCAAACCCCACAGTAAAGAAAGTAATTCCTCTTTGATATCAGCCTCCACATCATGGCAGATGGCACTGATCCTGTTCAAGCAAACGGTTTATGTCCAGCATTATAGTATCCTATAACTACAAACTATCAAAAAAAAAGAAGATTGGCATATTCCACCAGCAAATGGAAAGTAAATACCTAGCTTTCTCTGTGTGCTATGGTAACAACCATAAAACTATAAAACAGGAGCAGCAGCTCTAAGTTATGTTCACGATTAAGACAGGAACACTCTGTGATGCAAGAATACGAGGTGAGAAAATCAAATAACAAATAAGAAAAGTTTTTACTGACAAGGTAAGTGGAATTTTGCTTTCCACTTACCACTTCAGTTACAGAGCAATCCCCTCATGAAGTTTAAATTTTCAAAAATCTTACAAGTCACAAAGATTACTTTTTTTTCCTCCTAGTTTATACCTGCTATGTCTTCCACACAACTCTTAGATCAGGACAGCATGCTTGAGAAAGGTACTTTCAGCCTAATATTAGTGATAGCAGGCACACTGCGAAATTCTTATAGTTTGCACCCTCAAATCTTACTTTCATCCTTGCTTGAACTATGCCAGCTGAAGAGCAAATACCAGTCATCTGCTGTTGTGACTGCTACATCATGGTAAGTTCCAGCTGAGGTGAAATGCTGAATGCTTCTTAAATAGTGTCAACTAGAGTTGTCAGGAGATCATAAGCCAGAGCCCCAAGCAATTTGGTTAGAATCAGAGAGTAACTGGATTAGCAGAACTACTCAATTAGTATTTGATGAGCTGTGTAATTCATGTTATCTTCACAGCACTACTAGCTCTAACACCTGCAATATGAATTAGCATCTATCGCTTCACATGTCAGGTGACTTGAGCCTCACTTAATGCAAACAAGAGATTTGTGCAAAGATTTGCACTGAAACAGGTGAAAAAATCAAAACTAAATATACCTCAATCTAAAAATTCAGTAAAGATGCTTGCCAGCTCTGGAGATATGTTCTCATTTAATCTTTCATTTTAATCAACTTTAACAGGTAAAGCTAGGAGATACTCTTTCCTAGATGCAAGATACAGTCAGTCAGACAATTGGTAGTATTTTGTCTCTGTGAGAGGTGAAAGACTTTCAGAGCCCAGCAACAGCAATTGCTGGATTCAGTGAGGGAAAGGGCCCCTGCCTTTCATAGGGACAGAAACTGCATGGTCCACACTGCCTTGAGACTTTGGCAGCATGTCTGCCAACTCTGTTGTCACACGTCAGTCTGTAACACTGTAGCACTGAAGGAAGGCAAAATTGTCTCCTTAAACAGCTGCAAGAATCAGGCTCATCAAGGTAAGGCATATGTACTACTTTTTGAACAAACTGCTGGCAGTAGTATGCTCCCATCAGGGCAGTCTGAGCGCAGAACTTTTCTCTTTTACTCCTGCAAGGTACAGGGGTGCCTATTCAGGTTTTAGACATATTTCATGCAAATCTGAAGCTTCCTTCCGGTCATAGGATGGCTAGACATCCTGACTATAATTACAGTGAATTAACACTGAAGAACAACTTTTGGCTTTCATAATAAACATAAAATAAACATTTAAAATTAATGTTTTTTGTTGTTTTTTTTTTTTTTTTTAGGTGTTGAAAGGGTTTTTTTTTTTGCTGTTCGCTTTTAAATTATTTTGCTGTAGGTGTTCATATTTACAACGATCAAAACTTGAAACACGCCAACTATAGTGATATCAGCTCAGTCAATCAAACAGCACTGCAGTTAGAGCTTTATCCACCTCCATCCCTACAATTATTCCAAAGGAGAAAGACAGAATAAGTTATGTTACTATTTATAGTAAAAGGAAATGATAGATATGCCCGCTTAGTAAATAGCAGGCAATGGTGAAAACACAGTAATTTGGACTTATGTCTTCACTAATATCTAGTAATTCACAGGTGGCATTTTACATCTGTGTGCTGTATTTTATTTGACATCTTCACAATCCTTTTTAAGTCAGTCACAAATCCAAGCACAGTTAGCAGACAGGGTATTTAATAAAATCAGATTTATAAAACTATTACTGTGTGAAACAGAATTTCACCTATTAAATTTTTCTAATAAAAAACCCAGCTACTCAAATCAATAGAGAAGGAAAAACAATAAATAATAAAACAATGAGAAATTAATTGAGATCTTAACAAAGCTATAAATACATCAAACATTTCTGATGATATCAAAATGCACTCTACATGGTTTTCCTTTTTTCTTTTTTTTCCTTCACAAAACCTCTCCTGATATCTGCAGTTCCTAATAATTTATTCTATAAATACAGCTTAGTTGACTAAGGCTGAAATGTGCTAAGATGCAGTAGCGTTTCAAATTCATACATGAAACAATTTGGAAGCTTCCCCCAGGCATTTGCTGCTGCTGCTCCCACTGCTCTGCTACCCACAATCCCCCCATTTACCTGCTCGCTGGGCTGCCTCAGCCCTGGTCAGGAAGTGGTAAAGCTGATCCAGCTTATCAGGCTGCTCCTCCAGGGACTTCTGCTGCCATATGGCTGACCCAGGCCCTGCAGCCTCCCTCAAGGCATTCCACTTCTCTATCAGAGCGAAGAGCTCGGAGAAGGACTTGTGATAACCCTGTCGCAGCATGTCTATGCAGATGTTCTTCTTGTATGAATTCCTGTTACTGGGAATAAGAAAGATAGATTTTAAGCCTTTAAACCCATATTCTGTTCTCTGCCTTACCAAATAAGTACAGATAACGAAAACAGCTTTCAAGAAGAGACCTCTTCAGTCCAGCAGCAGGGAAGGGGTATTTTTATCCCCTTCTCAAAAAGCATTCTGCTAAAATATGATTACAAATGTCATACCATAGGGAAGTAAATATGGCAATAATGAATAAATACCTATATATATATATATATAAAACATATTAAAAATATACTGGTGTTCTTTAGCTGATACTGGTAAAAAAGTCTGACTGATGGGAGACCCCCCCTCCCCATGTTTATATTAGTTCATGAAAACACAATGAACTTTTATTTTGCTTTAAAACAGTGCACAGGGAAAAACGAGGCACATTCTACATGTCAAAACGATGTATATGTTTAATAGTTTTGCTGTAGGACATGATGGGGTGCTTTAAAATGTCAGACAAATGCTATGCCAAAAACATAATCACTAGGTATAATTTTGCTTCTGTTTAGCATATAACTTCAGCTGGGACTGGTTTACTGATGTAAAATTCTGATAATTTCTCCCTAAGTTTAACATCAAATGATGCAATGATGAATTTATATCAAAGTTGTCTCATTCATAAACTCTGGTAAGATATGCATATCAAAAAGTTGTGCAATCAAACATTCTCAAGAGGTAACATATCTTTTGGGGTATTATTTATGGAAATAATCAAAATATTTCTTTTATGTGGCATGAAACAATCATTGTGTCCCATCCTGGAGAAAACTATGAGTCCAATGGGACTGCCTGTAACACTAAAGTACAGATGTAAAGGTTTGCAGGAGTAGGAATCTAGCGGGAGGAAACAAACCTTTGTCCCAATAAAATGGCAAGGACCCAGAAGTGTTAGTTCTATATTTTATATTCCATTAAGTCTCCAAACTGTTTTCAAGACTATCTTTTTTTGATTAAAATCCACTAACTTCAGATTCTCAGCAGCTTTCAAATAAATATGAAATTCTGAAATTTGGGATTTATAGTGTATTTAATAAATTCAGATGATCTCATGCTAAACAATAGCCTAATGAGACTAATACTTCTAGCCAAAAAAAGCTACTGCAGTTCTTTAACAATGCTAGTAAGATGGAAGTGATGTAAAAAACTTCTTAACTAGATGTGAATGAAATAAAAAGTAATGTAAGATGTAAGAAGTAAATAATCAGCATAAGTTCACATTTAATACGATTAAATACTCAATAGATGCACGCTAATCCTTCATGTTTTTTTTTTTTTGTATTTCAGTTTCAAAACTGAACACAAAAGTACTACAAAAGCCTGATATAATTTAGACTAGACAGTACTGAATTTATCCTTAATACATAAATAGGTGTTTTTTGAGACTGAAAAACATGCATTGTTCATACATACATGAGAAAAAAAGTAACTATTTTGTACCAGAAAATATTTGCAACAAGTAAATGTAAATGTTAAGAAAAGTAAATGTTAAGAAAAGTAAATGATAAATATCTTTAAAAATGTACATTTTAATTTGCCAGTATATGCTACATTTGTCAAAGACCAGATGCACAGTATATAGCTTAAAAATACTGTAAAGACATTATGTTAATACCATACAATATATTCTCTAATCTACATTGAATGCTTTCTGCTTTCTGTTTTAAAATTATAACTAAAAAAATATTGTAGAATATGGGTAAAAATTCCTATAAACTTCCAAAGGCCTAGAACTGAATCCTACAGTAATACAACTCAGAGCAGTGGAATAACAACTTGCAGAGCAGACACAGGCATATTTATTCCTATAATGTGATCTTTATATGTGTGTATGTGTGCATGCATTAGATCATTAGATGTATTGGAAGTAAACAAGAAAGTATTGCAACAAGATCTTCACAGTGATTAAACAAAACGTCATTCAGTTAATTTTTAACATTTGCTGCATAGTCACTGAGCATAGTATTTATATTTGTATAACAGAAAAAACGTGTCCATGTAACATTATTTCCCATATACTGATCCTGTTTGCTTGGAGTCAAAGCGCATTTTCCCCACAAGATAGCATTATTAGCAAACCAATTCAGGAGAACAAAACACACAATAAAATAGGTAAGTTTTAAAAAGTAGTGTCAATATTCTTTTAATAAATCCTATCCTAATTAATAAAGTGAAATAATGCTGCAGTAATCATACAGCACAGCTCATGTTTTTTTCCTTAGGCAAAGATAACTGATTTTAGCTCACAAGCAATGAAGCTGCTATCTATTGTATAATCATTCAAATTTTTCAGTCACAAAGTTATCTCTCTGTTACTCTTAAAACCAGAAAATACACAAAGCACAAAATAATACTATTGTTTTCTTAAGCTTTTACAATATATCAACTACAAGTGACTGATCACACACAAACAAAATAGGGATAGAAATGAATGATATTATGTGGATGAATGGTATTTGACACCTAAGAGAGAATGACACTGCAACGAATTCTGAAATTTATTCAGTTATTGAAGGGGTTACAGATGGAAATTCCAGTGCCCTTTTTTTCCCACCAAACAGTGCTTTTGAACAGAAGGAGTAGTGTAGGTGACAGAAGTAAACTTTTCATGATATCTTGAGATAAGCTATAAATAAACCCTTAAAATTCTTTTCATAGTGTTTTTTTATATATATCATGCAGCATGTAAAATGTGAGTTTAAATAGAGCATCTCATGTTTAATGTAACCGAATATCACTTTATTTTTAATATCAAGATAAAAAACTGATATCTGATTAAAGGCACATTATTTTACAAAATCCAACTATTAACAGTATGTTTCTACTACATTAATGAAGCAGTTTATGCTAAACCTTTTGAACCTTCCTACCTAATAAATTATTATATATTATTAAGCAGGTAAGTTTGTTTTTCTGCATGGCGCCCAAGCCGATTTTAGGCTTCCTTTGAACAATTATGTTACTTCAAGAAGAAAAATGGAGAAAGACTGGCCTTTCATTTGAAGTGGAGCCGTTCAAGAGGTTTAATGGTCTCTGGGGGCATCTACTGGAAATCCGGAAAACTGCACCCAGGACATGTTAATCCCGGGGCTGTCAGTGCGGCGGGGCACGGCCGCAGAACAAAGGAAGGGACCGCGCTTGTGAAACGCGGGAGCGCAGCGCCGCCGGCAGCGCGCAGGGACAACGCGGTTTGCTCCCTGCTTCTGCAAAGGCTCCGGTTTGTTTTACGCCGTGCCGCTGAAGCACAGTGCCACAGCCACGCAAAAGCTGCCTGTAAGGAGCTCAACCGGTGGAACTGGAAAGAGAAGGCAGTTCTGTCATGTTGGCTGGGTTTAATGTTAAAACTGAAGCATGAGGTGAATATAAACCTAAAGTCCTCTTTCCCTTTCGAATGATCACATGGGCATGCCAGGAAAAAAAATGTTTCAGATGGATTTTTTTGAAAACAGATTAATTTTTAATGAAATATGGAACATATATGTGCACTTATGGTAAAAACAAAGATACCAATTAATCTGTTTTTAATTTCAAGCAGATTTGTTTCATTATTTATTTTTTTTTTTTTTTGATCCCTGGAATTCAACAGATGAAAACTATGATACTTAAGCATAAACAGTGCTGAGAATCCACTGTTCCTCTGTACAGCTACCTCTGTCATTACTGAAATCCCACAGATGTTGTAGCGTGTTTATTTACTCAGACTGGGTCAAACATGAATGAGGTCCACTTAGTAGCTCTGGTAAGGTATGATGCATTTAACCTATACCAGCAGTTACTGCTATGTGGCATTTCATGCATGAAGTGCTGAAAAAAATCTATACCCTTCTGCATGTGTGTCATGGGGTGAGAGATCAGAATAATTTTTAGCACCAAACAATCAACCACGAAGAGTTGAAATTGTCATTTTGATGATGCCATGTTATAGGTAAGGATTTCATGTAGTATATCACAGGGGTGGAAGAAGCTATTTATTGAATGTGGATCTGCAAGCTTGAAAAGGCACTGCTTGCTATTGTTAACACTGTGCTTTAAGTGTACCTCGTATTCCTACAGGCATTATACTTTTCTTAAACTACATAGCTACTTATATGATTTTCTTATACAGATTTCTTTTTATTTATTATCATTGCTATTCTAAAATGACCTGGAGCCATGCTAAGGAACCACAGAAAACTGATTCTAATCTGTCTTTACCCATGCAAAAATAATAAATAATAACCTTCAGCGGGGCTAATGAAATTACACTGTTGTTGCAATCTCAAGCACCTTCCTATCTTATAGCATTGTACTTTTACAAGACTGTTAAGCAAAGCTAGGTGATCAGGACAGTACTGTATTACATTCCCTTTAACTTAAATTCCTGAACAGCAAGGCTATTGGCATTCTACCCTTCGCACTGAAAGAAAGAAAAGAAAAAAGAAATTAAGAGACCAGGAGGCAGGTACAGGTGTTGGAAAAATTCAAAACAGCCAGTATAGCATAACACAGTTATTTAACATTATTTAATTCCCCATGCCTCCTGTCTGGTGTGGTCAATTACAGACAAGCAAAATAAGTGTAAAAGTCTACTATTTTCAGATGACAGGGTTTTTTTTTGTGGTGTGTTTTTTGGTTGTTTGGTTGGTTTTGTTTTTTGTTTTTTTTTTTTGTTTTGTTTAGTATCAGGGTTCATATCTTTAAATTTGTAGGATTTAATTACTACTATAGGTTAATGCTGGCTGATTACAATACAAGTGTATTATAGCACTCCATTTTGTAAAACACAAAATGGCATGGATTAAACAATGATAGTATATGAAATATTAAAGTATACTTCCAGTGTAAAATAATTACTAATTATTATAATGTTTAAAAACTGTATTCAAACAGGTTTCATCCATTTGGGATTTCCTTCTGCAGTTAGTAAATCAATGACTGACACAAATGCCTTGGAGAAGGCTCACAAAATTATGAAAAATAATCAAGACATTTTTGCTTAGGTTTGTTCAAACA